AAGACAACGCGAGAACACGCCGCCGTGTTATTACCAGGAGCGTAGCCGCTGCTGCTTCCGGCGGCGGAGGAGGCGGTAACAGCGGCGGCCGGGGCCGCTGCTGCTGTTGCTGCCGCCGGTGCTGGTGCCGGTGCCGGTGCGGTCGACGGACCAGCAGCCCCGTTCTCAGCGACGGGGGCGGCGGCTGCGGCAGCGGCGGCCGCGGCGGCGTTTGCCTCCTCCCTGGCCTTGTTCCCGATCGCAACCAACCGCTGCACGATCTGGTCCTCGCGCTCCCGCTTCACGATGGCCTGCGCGTTGTGGACGGCCTCCATCTGGAGCATGACGGCGATCATCGCCCGGCACACGGCAGCCACGTCAGCGAGGCTCCTGTCCGTAACGGACGCCATGGTCCGGATCTCTTCCCACCGGTCGTACCCGAAGGTAAGCAGCGCGCTGCGGGACAAAAGACGACGCACAGGTCGAGAGGAGCGAGCGAGAGAGAGAAAAACCGACAACAAACAGATCCGTGGAGATCGTGGTATTTAGTAAATTGGACAAATACGGCAGAGAAAACGTCCAGGTGCGTGAAGCTGGTTAGATGGACGGAAACACCAGAAAACGAGTGAAAAAGCCGACGATGGCGACGCTTGAACAGGTGGATGCGCAGCAGGAAGTCAAATGATCGAAAAAGCCGGTGTACTGCGCTGTGTAGACATACGGAAGACGCCGTTCGGCCGGGGGACACCTGGAAATCGACCGTCATCGCAGCCAAGCCTTTTGGCTGACGGCCTGCAGCTCTGTGCCCACCGAGAGACTGATCCGTGATTCATCTTTCATCCATGGAATTACTCTGTCGGTAGTTGCTACCGACCGTAATTCCATGGATGAAGGATAAATCACGGAAGCTACCGACCGCGCCATTCCATGGACGGAAGGATAAATCATGAAAGTTACCGACCGCGTCATTCCATGGACGAAGAACGATAAATCACGAAAGTTGCCGACCGAGTCATTCCATGGATGAACATGAACAACGGACCAGTCTCCAGGTGAACACAGAGTTGCATGCCGTCAGCCAAAGGCTCGGGCCATGACAGCCAAGCCATCAAAAAACAACAACACCCCCGCTCAGCAGGGTCGCATCATCACCCACCGCCAACAGACGCGACGCGCGCGAGTTTATTATTCCCTGTCCTCTGTACAACCTGCTGTATCAGCCGGTTGCCCCCCGTTAATCGCCCATGGGTTACTTGTGTTGAGTTGGTCCGGCGTCGTAGCGCCACCAGTGTCGTTCTGAAGCGACACAGGCGAGTAAATTGGTCGAAAAGGTACGGTGTCGTAAGTGCCAGCGACGTCTTGAGGCGATACATGCCGCATGAGGCGATACATGCGGCA